TCACCCAGGCCAGGGTGCAGTGGTTTGATCACAGCTTACTGCAGACTGGACCTCCTGGTCTCAAGTGATAATGCCTCAGCCTCCCCAGTAGCTAGGACTACAGGCGCGCGCCACCACGCCTTGCTAATTTTTGTTGTTTGTAGTTTTTGTAGATACGGGGTTTCGCCATGTTGTTGAGGCTGTACTTTTTTTTTTATAAGTGCTTCAGCCGCCTTAACGCACTTTACTTTTTCACTTCTTGCAGTTGGAGTGAAAAAGCCAATGAGAGGCCGACTCAAGGTTATTCGGCCAATCCAGGCCCGGAGACAGGGGGCGGGGCTTCAGGAGAAATGTCAGGAGCTAGGAAGGGGGCGATTAGATCCCACCAACCAGCTGATGGTCACAGCTCAGAGGCGGAGCCTGGGGAACGATGCCTGGACCCGTCGCCAATGGGAAAAGGCAGGCTTATAGCTTTAAAGGGGAATAAATGCTTCGGCCGAACCAAGTCCTGAGTTCCCAGCGGAGGAGGAGACCTGATCCTTTAAGGTGGAATGAGGCGACGGTTCTTTAAAGGCAAAGTGGCCGAGTCGGCCGAGTATTGCCCAGCGGCACGGGCGGGGTGCCCGGCTGTGCCTTTAAAGGCGGAGGGGCGGGGGGCGGAGCGGAGGCGGAGGGCGGAGGGAGTCGGCGCAAGATGGCGGCGGGAGGGGCCCAGGCTGTAGCTCTGGCCGCCGAGTGAGGGGCGGGGGGGGCCCGGGGGCGCGCGGCCCGGTAAGCGGGGACGCGCGAGGTTGAGGGGCGCCTTCCGGGTGGGAGAAGAGGCCGAGGTAGCGCTTGGGGCGGAGCGGGGGGGGCGGGGTCCGGTGTGGGCGGAGGTAGACAAGGGGCGGGGTCGAAAGGCCCGAAAGTGGGCGGGGCACGGGCGAGCCTGGAAAGGGGCGGGGCTAGGTAGAAGCAGGGGCGAAAACGGGCGTGGTCGGCGAGACAGCTGGGGGGCAAAGCCTGAGGGGAGATTGAGCAGACGGTTGGTTTTCAGTAGAGGAGCTGCCCTGCCCCCTCCAAAAAAATGGGTACACAACGCCAAAAAGGTAGATTTTGGAATGTCAGGCTCTCAGGTAAATGGGAAATAGGGTTTAATTCCGAAGGAAGGCACACCACCCTCTAAGAGTGCCTTATTTCTCTAATCTCCAAGGAAAGGGCTCAGGATTTGTCAGATACTTGTGTTTGCTAGCGCCGCCACTTACTGACTGTGTGACCTTGAATAATCTCTTAATTTTTCTGAGCCTTAGTTTCCTCCTCTGTTAAATGGGGTTGAGAGTAATACCTACCACACGTTTGTGGGGAATTACACAGATAATGAGTATAAACGGGCTGTGTCATTATGAGATGTTATCATTATTCTTTTCTCTTTTTCTTCCCAGAGACCCCCCCGGCCGCCCTCCTCCTTCCTTTGTTCCTGTGGCTGGGGGGGTATCCCCTCCCTCCACAACATGGAGCCATCTCCTCTGTCTCCCGGTGGGGCAGCACTCCCCCTGCCGCTGTCGCTGGCTCCACCCCCACTACCCCTGCCAGCAGCTGCCGTGGTACATGTGTCCTTCCCTGAGGTGACCAGTGCCCTCCTGGAGTCCCTCAATCAGCAGCGTCTTCAGGGCCAGCTCTGTGATGTGTCAATCCGAGTGCAGGGCCGGGAGTTCCGGGCCCATCGGGCTGTTCTGGCTGCCTCCTCCCCTTACTTCCATGATCAGGTCCTACTCAAGGGCATGACCTCCATCTCGCTGCCCAGTGTCATGGACCCAGGCGCCTTCGAGACTGTCCTAGCCTCCGCTTACACTGGCCGCCTTAGCATGGCTGCTGCTGACATTGTCAACTTCCTCACAGTGGGGTCTGTGCTCCAAATGTGGCACATTGTGGACAAGTGCACTGAACTACTCCGAGAAGGCCGGGCCTCAGCTACTACCACCATCACTACTGCTGCAGCCACCTCTGTCACTGTCCCTGGTGCTGGGGTCCCATCTGGGAGTGGGGGCACTGTGGCCCCTTCTACCATGGGCTCTGTGCGCTCCCATGCCTCCAGCCGAGCCAGTGAGAATCAGTCTCCCAGCAGCAGCAACTACTTCAGCCCCAGGGAGTCCACTGATTTCTCATCTTCCTCCCAAGAGGCATTTGCAGCTTCTGCAGTGGGCAGTGGGGAGCGTCGAGGAGGTGGCCCTGTATTCCCAGCCCCTGTCGTTGGCAGTGGGGGCGCCACCTCTGGGAAGCTGCTGCTGGAGGCAGATGAGCTGTGCGATGACGGTGGGGATGGAAGAGGGGCAGTGATCCCTGGGACTGGGCTCAGGAGACCCACCTACACACCCCCTAGCATCATGCCACAGAAACACTGGGTATACGTGAAGCGAGGTGGTAATTGCCCAGCACCAGCACCCCTGGTTCCCCAAGACCCAGATCTGGAGGAGGAAGAAGAGGAGGAAGATCTGGTGTTGACCTGTGAGGATGATGAAGATGAAGAGTTAGGGGGTAGCTCCAGGGTTCCACCTGGGGGAGGGCCTGAGGCTACCCTCAGCATAAGTGATGTCCGTACCCTAAGTGAGCCCCCAGACAAGGGGGAGGAGCAGGTCAACTTCTGTGAGTCCTCCAATGACTTTGGCCCCTATGAGGGTGGAGGTCCTGGAGCAGGTCTTGATGACTCAGGAGGGCCAAGTCCCTCTTCCTATGCCCCTTCCCACCCTCCTCGACCGCTCCTTCCCTTGGACATGCAGGGCAACCAGATCCTGGTCTTCCCATCATCTTCATCCTCCTCACAGGCTCCTGGCCAACCACCAGGGAACCAAGCAGAACACGGGGCAGTGACCCTGGGGGGTACATCGGTGGGGGGTCTGGGCGTGCCGGGTAGCGCTGGTGGGGTCCCTGGAGGAACTGGCAGCGGGGACGGGAATAAGATCTTTCTGTGCCATTGTGGGAAGGCCTTCTCCCACAAGAGCATGCGGGACCGGCACGTGAACATGCACCTCAATCTGCGACCCTTTGACTGCCCCGTGTGCAACAAAAAGTTCAAGATGAAGCACCATCTGACTGAGCACATGAAGACACACACAGGTCTCAAGCCCTATGAGTGCGGTGTCTGCGCCAAGAAGTTCATGTGGCGGGACAGCTTCATGCGCCACCGAGGACACTGTGAGCGCCGGCACCGCCTGAGTGGCGGCGGGGCTGGACCTGGGCCTGGGACGCCCACGGGGCCATCCTTGCCGGCCAAGAGAGAATCCCCTGGAACAGGTGGGGGCAGCGGCGACGAGGCGACTGCGGCCACGCCCCCGTCCAGCAGACGAGTGTGGTCCCCACCCAGCGTCCACAAGGTGGAGATGGGCTTCAGTGGAGGTGGAGGAGCAAACTGAAGGGGCAGCCTGCTGGGGTGGGGGTAGCTTTCGGGGAAGAGGGAATAAGCACGATCCAAGGGCAATTTGGCCCTCGGCGGGTTTCCCACCACAATTACTGTCTTCCTTTATCTCTATGGACTTGTATATATGCTGGAAGCGGAACCACAGTTGCACCATCGCCCGCCCATTCTACTCCTCAACCCCTCCCTCCCAAGGAATTTCTGGAACTAAGCCCTTCCTTTCTCTCTGATGGGTACACTGAAGCCCCGGCTCCACAGAGTAGGGTGCACGTGGAGGGAGGGAGAGTGGGTGTGTTGAGCATCCTGCAGTCACAGGGTCAATGGGCAGGTGGTTGTAGTCTGTGCCTGAAGTCTGTGTTTGTGTTGTCATGGGGACCAGGCCTTTGAGCCCCACCCTTGTCCTAAAACCTACCCCCTCTCAAGGATGTGCTCTTTATTTCTACCCTGTCTCTCCCCACCCACCCCGCCTCCCGGGGAAATCCCCAACTTGGTTCTCTTGGAGGAATGGGTGGAGACAAGGAGGGAGTAAGTAGTAGGAGTACGAGGTTTTTATTTTTTTTAACAGTGATTAAAATATTTATTGGTCATTTACTTGGCTTCCCGACAACCCATGTGTTTGCTGGGGACCCGGCACAGGTGGGGAAAAACCGTAGTAATGGTTCTCGGGGAAAGTGGATGCTGGAGGGCGCACACAGGAGGGGGTGGGGGTGCTGGGTTTGGGGAGGGCTCAAACTCGTGGCTGCTGGGTAGTCCAGGAGGGCCAGGCTGGGGTGTCCTGACGAGAACTGGAGAGGCTCTTCCCGGATCCCTGCCTGATCAGCAGGGAAACACCAGTCTCCCAGGCACCCACACCTAACCAGAGCGGGGATTTCCACCGCCCCTCCTGCCGCCCTTTGGAGGAAAGTGAAAGTGAAAGGAGGAAGAGGAGGCTTCATGGCTGAGGGGATCGCAGCGCCATGAAGTCCCTGTTTCTGGTCCTTGCAATGGCTTTGGGTGAGCGAACCCCGCGACTCATCGCCCAAGAACTAGAGGGAAGCGGAGGGAGGTGGCCCCACTGGCGCCGACGCGAGTGGGAGTGGGTAGGTCACCAGACATCTAAGCCGCCCCTCACTTGCGCCCCTATGTGCCAGGCCTGGCGACCGCCGTCTCGGCAGGACCGGCGGTGATCGAGTGTTGGCTCGTGGAGGATGCGAGCGGAAAGGGCCTGGCCAAGAGACCTGCTGCACTGCTGTTGCGCCAGGGGACTGGGGGACCGCCACCCCGGCCGGACCTCGACCCTGAGCTCTACCTCAATGTGCACGGTGAGTCTTTAGGGACTTGCCCCCCTACGTCTGTCACCTCCACAGAAACCCCCTCCTCTTTAGATCCGGCAGTGACCTCGGGGCCTCAGCTTCCTCCTCTATAAAGGGAGTCTCACTGTGGGGTAGTCTGTACATTTGAAGTGCCGCGAACCCTGCCCTTCCAGCCCCCTTCCCGCCCTTGAATCTACAGCTGCAACTTCCTTTTCTACACTCAGACCCCGCGGGCGCCCTCCAGGCTGCCTTCAGGCGGTACCCTAGGGGCGCCCCCGCGCCGCACTGCGAGATGAGCCGCTTCGTCCCTCTCCCTGCCTCTGCGAACTGGGCCAGCGCCCTGACCCCGGAAAAGAACTGCCCGCGGGCCCTGGATGGGGCTTGGCTGATGGTCAGCATGTCCAGCCCAGTCCTCAGCCTCTCCAGCCTTTTGCGACCACAACCAGAGCCTCAGCAGGAGCCTGTTCTCATCACCATGGCAACAGGTAGCTGGGGAGGGGAGGTGGAGAAGGATGGGTAGATTCTAAGGGTCCAGATCAGCTGGTGGACCCGCTTTATGTACTTGAGCGAGACATTTCGCCAATCGGGGTTCCGTTTCCTTTTTTAGTTAAGAGAGATGGTTTGGCTAGAATCAGTCAATCTCTACTGCTCCTTCTAGCCCTCACCCAGTTAAAAAAACAACAAAAAAAACCTGTGACTGGGAGGGGAGGAGGTGACTTTGTGGTGTTTCGAAGGGCGGGGCTTTGGAAAGGTGGGGTTTCTCTATACCAGACCTTGAGAGACTTGTCAGGTGATGCGAGGTGGGAGGAGTCCAGAAGCAGGAGGGTTTTTTCTCTGCTCCTCCCAGATCTGTATCTTGCTAGGCGCCCTCCGCTTTGAGGTTCACTCTATTTCGAAAACCGTAGCCCCACCTGCGCCCACACCCGGCGCTGCGGCAATCAGCAAAGCAAAGGCTCTTGCACTGTAGCGCGTGGACATTCCCTGACAGCCGCTTGTGGGGATGTGCTGCCTCTCTGTGGTCCGCAAACAAGTGGGCTCGAGTGGGCGGAGCGAGGCGGCGGGAGATCTGATGGTTCCTATTGCATCAAAGGGTGCATTGCAGTTTGAGGCCCCATGCTTTGCTGGGCTGGGACGCGGGAGGGAGTGTGCAGATAATTCAAGAATGAGGAGGATCTGACCCTCCACCCTTCCTCCTCTCCACCCTCCTCACTGAGAATGACCCACAGAACCAGGGAGACAAACTGGAACCCCACACTGAAACCCTCTCCTTTGCCTATACCTCCATTCTTAGTTTTAAGCCCCAACCCTGGCAGAAGCTGAGGAACACCGCTCTTGTGTAGACAGGCGCTCTCTGGGGTCAGGGCTGGGGGGAGAAATATTTCCTAGGGCTACAGGCTTCACGGAGGTGATGATGAGAATGTTCTTTGCTTTCTGAGTTTGTTTTTCTAACTGTAAAATGTAGGTACTATTTCCCAGCTGCCTTTCTTGTTATGACTATCAAGAGAGGCACTGTATTAATTTATTCATTGATTCAATAAATACTTATTAGCACCAAGAATGAGTTAGGACTCAGTAGTTCTCAGTACAGGCTGTAAATAAGAATCACGTTGGGGCTGGGTGTCGTGGCTCACATCTGTAATTCCAGCACTTTGGGAAGCTGAGGCAGGTGGATTACCTGAGATCAGGAGTTTGAGACCAGCTTGACCAACATGGTGAAACCCAATGGGTTTTTCTACTAAAAATACAAAAATTAGCCAGGCATAGTGGTGTGCGCATATAGTCCCAGCTACTTGGGAGACTGAGGCAGGAGAATCACTTGAACCTGGGAGGTGGAGGTTGCAGTGAGCCAAGATTGCACCACTGCACTCCAGGCTGGGCGACAGAGTGAGACTTCGTCTCGAAAATAAAAATGAAAATAAAAAGAAGAAAAAGAAAAATCCTGCTGGAAGTTTCTAAAATAAACTGAAACCTGAGTCAATCCATGTTTGGCTCAGCTGATTAAATCAGAATCTCTGGGATGGCCTTGGGTAATCTTCAGGGTCACAAAGATGATCTGATGTAGATTCTGCTCTCCAGGAGGTTCCGGGCAGATTTGCCACAGTCCTAATATAAAGTAGAAAGCGAAGGACGTGCAGACAGGGAGCCCTGAAGTGCCCAGGTGGGTAAGATTGCCTGTGTCTCACAAACAACTGGGGTAACAGCAAGTTGCTGTGCCATTTATTTATTTATTTTGGAGATATAAATAAATGGAGTGCCATGACACGATCTTGGCTCACTGCAACCTCTGCCTTCTGGGTTCAAGCGATTCTTCTGCCTCAGCCTCCTGAGGAGCTGGGATTACAGGCATTAACCACCATGCCTGGCTAATTTTTTGTATTTTTAGTAGAGACAGGGTTTCATGGCCAGGTGCAGTGGCTCACACCTGTAATCCCAGCACTTTGGGAGGCTGAGGCAGGCGGATCACGAGGTCAAGAGATTGAGGCTATCCTGGCCAACACAGTGAAACCCCGTCTCTACTAAAAATACAAAAATTAGCTGGTCGTGGTGGTGCAAGCCTATAGTCCCAGCTACTTGGAGGCTGAGGCAGGAGAATCGCTTAAAAAAAAAACAACCAGGGAGGCAGAGGTTGCAGTGAGCCGGGATTGCGCCATTGCATTCCAGCCTGGCAACAGAGCGACACTCTATCTCAAAAAAAAAAGAGAGAGAGAGAGATAAGGTTTCACTATATTAGCCAGGCTGGTCTAGAGCTCCTGACCTGATGATTCACCCACCTTGGCCTCCCAAAGTGCTGGGATTATAGATGTGAGCCACTGTGCCCAGCCCTATTTATTTTTGAGATGGCATCTCCCTCTTGTCATCTGGGCTGGAGTGCAGTTGCAGTGGCACAATCTTGGCTCACTGCAACCTCCACCTCCCAGGTTCAAGCAATTCTCTTGCCTCAGCCTTCAGAGTAGCTGGGATTACAGGTGCCTGCCACCACACCTGGCTGATTTTCGTATTTTTGGTAGAAACGGGGTTTTGCTGTGTTGGGCAGGTTGGTCTCAAATTCCTGACCTTGGGTGATCGACCTGCCTCGGCCTCCTAAAGTGCTGGGATTACACGTGGGAGCCACCATACCCAGCGGACAAGTATACTTTCTTATTTATTCATTTATTTATTTGAGACAGGGTCTCACTCTGGTGCCCAGGCTGGTGTGCAGTGCAGGCTGGAGAGCAGTGGTGTGATCTCAGCTTACTGCAAACTCCACCTCAATGGCTCAAATGATCCTCATGCCTCAACCTCCTGAGTAGCTGGGACCACAGGCATGTGCCACCATGCCCAGCTAATTTTTGTAATTTTTTTTTGTAGAGATGGGATTTTGTCAGGTTGTCCAGGCTAGTCTTGAAGTCCTAAACTCAATTGATCCGCCCACCTTGGCCTCCCAAACTGCTGGGATTACAGGTGTGAGCTGCCTGGCCCCAAATATGCTTTCTTAATATACTTTGTGTGTATAGTATTTAATTCTCACCATTCTTTGTTTTTTCTTGAGACAGAGTCTTGTTCTGTTGCCCAGGCTGGAGTGTAGTAGTGTGATCTCAGCTCACTATAACCTCCGCTTCCCAGCTTCAAGCGATTCTCCTGCCTCAGCCTCCAAAGTAGCTGGATTACAGGCACGCGCCACCACACCCAGCTAATTTTTTGTATTTTAAATAGAGACGGGGTTTCACTATGTTGGCCAGGCTGGTCTCAAACTCCTGACCTCAGGCGATCCACCCGCTTCAGACTCCCAAAGTGCTGGGATTACAGGTATGAGCCACTGCGCCTGGCCTAATTTTTGTATTTTTAATAGAGACGGGGTTTCACCATGTTGGCCAGGCTGGTCTCAAACTCCTGACCTCAAGTGATCAGCCCACCTTCACCTTCCAAACTGCTGAGATTAAAGGGGTGAGACCCTGTGATGCCTGGCCTGTGGATCTTTTTTTTTTTTTAAAGACGAAGTTTCACTCTTGTTGCCCAGGCTGGAGTACAATGGTGCGATCTCGGCTCACCGCAACCTCC